ACAAACGTTGGCCGATGGTGCGTATGGCGTAGCTCGAGAACTTGACGCAAGGTGAAGATTTGATCGACACATCTGCGGCCTCGTCGAAATCCTGCTTGTTGTTCGCGGATGTTTGTCTCTCTAAACGGTGTCAGATTTTGAAGTATGATGGAGGCTAATAACTTGTCGACGATTGAAATCAAGATTATTCCACAGTGATTTGCGCAGTCGTTGCGAGATTCCTTCTTAAAAATGGGAACAATCAATAATGGATGACGGAATGCGCTCATGTGACTAGATGTTACGCACTAATGGAGTCTACGAGGTCATCACCTCCCAACTTTAAAACAGTGGGGGGAAACCCGTCCAGTCCTGCTGCTTTTCCTTTCTTCATGGCTTGAATGCATGATCGAACTTCTGCTGCATTAGGAGGTTCAGATGACACTTCCCATGGAGCCGCAACTACAACAGACGATGTAGTCTGGTTAGCACCTGGCCAGCTGAACTGTTCGTTGAAGTACTCCGTCCACCGGTCAAGCCGTTGTTCCTTGTTGTGAAAAGCTGGTCCACTTTTGTCGCAGANGTCCACTTTTGTCGCAGATTGTTTCAGTAACTGTGGTTCTCCGACCTCCAGTGTTGCGTATCAGTTGGAACAGGCTTGGACTGTTCTCTGATGCAGCTGCGACTTCCATTCCACTAGATATCGTTACCCACCAATTCTCACGATCTTTCTTGAGGCTTTTCTTGAGTTGTCGTTGAAGACACCATCTACCCCTACCTTGATCCCGTGCGGTGGAGATTTACCACTTTTTCTCCATCAGTGCTACTGAATCATCATCGGGCTACCGCTTCAGACTCACAAGCAACTCTCGTAGCGAAGTACATTGCTCGTCTAATCTGATCCCATTGTTCATCTACACTACCACTCCGCAGTGCGTTTAGCTCTTGCCCTAGTTCTGATTCAAAACGGGCACGAACGGCTGGGTCAGATAAGCGATGATCTGCCAATCGAGTTTGGTGGAATTGTCTGCGACCAGTGAGTTGGAGAGTGAACTGCATCAAAACTAACGCATGTGGTCCAATAGGACCTGCAGTTTTGTACTGAGCCAAGCCAACGGTAGCTTACTGCTTTGTGGTCGATTTGAGTTAAATTAGAGCGTCACGTTGCTGTCTGTTGAGAGCTGTGATGGAAGTTGGTGCTGGATAGGAACAGATGATGACCTGCGCAGAACTGAAGAAGTCGATCGCGATTATCTGTTCGCTGGCAGGGCAGAGCACAATGACCGCCTAGGCAAGCTTCGGATGCGCTCAGTTTTCCAACTTGAGCGTTAAAATCACCTGCGAGAACAACTATATCGTAGCTTCGACTCAGCCGAATGAGTTCGGTGAGTTTATCATAGAAGTCGTCCTTTTGTGCTTCAGAACTGCAGTTGGTCGGAGCATACACTGAAATGATGAACAGACACCTTTTGGTGTTGCTTCTCTTTCGAACGCTGATAGACCCTTGGAGCCGCATCGTACATAAACGACTATAAACGGGGATCCAATCGAGTAGTGTAGCTTCGGCTCTGTTATTGAGTACATTTCCCACACCACGCTGGTCTACTGAACGGGCTTCGCCATTACTTGATGTGCGGAGGAAGAACCTCGAAGACAACCTCGGTGCAGTTAAGTGGTTAATGGTACTAGGATCCTGGATTCGTGTCTCCGATACGCAACAAAAATCAATCCTCAAAGAGTCCATTGCACGCGCCAGATACGCTTGTTGACCTGTCTGTATCAAAGTCCTCACGTTGAAGGCCCCCAGATTCAGTGACTGACGAGGCTTCAGGATCTGCAATCTATTTTGTGGTACTACTACTTGGCGACGAACTTTGGCGAGTGACGAACAAGTTGTCTGGGGGAATGGTACGGGTTAGACGAAGGGGTAAAGGGAGAGGGTTGGGAACGGAAGACTAAGAGTCAAAGATTGGGATTAATACTCGTGAACAGCAAGCCGGATTCCGGCCTGACCCTGAATGTATAGATCAAATGTTTACGTTGTATCAGGTACTCGAGCTGTGTCACACCCACCATCGACCAAACATCGCAGCGTTCCTTGACCTCGAAGGAGCCTTCGACTCAGTTGAGCGCGAATCTTTGATGGATTCCCTTCTTCGAAAAGTAATGCCCCAGAAGTACGGTTACTTAGTGAAGTCACTGTACTCGCATACCGTTGGTCGCGACGGTTTACAACAAACTAAGTAAGCCATCCCCAACCAGCAGCAGCGTTCGTCAGAGGTGCCCTCTTTTACCGTTGCTGTTCGTCATAGACAAAATAATGGATAACTCAATAAGTGATCTCCAAAATGAAAGTGTTGAATGGGCAGATAGAGATAAACTGCGATTTAGAGTACTCCGATGACATCGTCTGTCTGTTCGAATGTATGGAGGACGCGCAAAGCGCACTTGACAGACTGACAAGTGCAGTAGCCACATTCGGTGTGCTTTGCACCTTCAAAGTTCAGTGATATTGCAGGAGTGGGTTTTGTATGCTCCCGCTCTGAAACTAAATGGCCAGGATTTAGTTGTGGTGGATTATTTTTCCTACTTAGGTAGTTGCGTGACCAATGACGGTAGCTCAGCAAAGGAGATAACCGCCCGCATTTCCGAGGCTCGAGCAGCATACGCAGGAATGAAGCACCTTTGGTGTAGACGCGACGTTTCACTGAAGTTGAAAGGTCGTGTATATTGTGCCACCGTTCGTTCAGTTCTGCTTTATGATTGTGAGACCTTGAATTTGCGAGTAGATATCCGTCGACTGGAAGTTTTCGATTATCGGTGTATACGCAGTTTAGCCCATGTGAGATGGAGAGAACGGGTTAGTAATCTGGAAGTAAGCCGTCGTGTTTGAGAGTCTATCAGGTATAAACCTGCTGGCACATCGAATTCAGATTAGTAGGCTTCGCTGGCTAGGGCACGTATTGCGTATGCCCAGCTGTCGTCTGCCGCACCGCGCCTTATTCGCTGCAGCTAATCTGGGCTGAAGGAATCCGCGTGGACGTCAACAGGTGGCGTGGAGTTGAGGTATGAAGAAATGCACAGAACGATTAGGTAGAGTAGTTGTCTGGCACCTTCCAGGTTGGGGTCCGAAAGACTCCACAACTGGTTGGTTGGAGACATTGGAGGATATGGCAGCGAACCGACCGCAGTGGCGTTCTTGTTATCATTTCTTATCAGGCCAGAATGCTTGAAACGGTGTGGATGCAGAGTTCTATTATGTACTGTTTGTGTTGACCACAGTGGCTCACCTTCTCCCTCCCTCAAAGTAGGTCCAATCCCTGTCCACTAACGTTGTATGCATTGCGAGTTTGACAGCGATCAGTGAAGTTCGCTTCACTGTATTTCGTTGTGCGGTGATGATGATTATGCTCAGAACTGAATATCTTGATCAATGTTATATTTTCAGTAGTCAGAGCATCATAATCGTCTACACAAGCTTCTGATGCGCTCAGCTTTCCAACGTGGACGTCAACATCACCTGTCAGTTCAATCATATCGAAAATTCGGCTCAGCCGATCTGTGACTGTGATTCATGCTTTTCGGGTTTATTTTCTCAGGAAACTACTTTATGCTTTCTTTTTTTTACCAGTGTTACGTAATACGTTGATAGGCTGAAGGGAGGTAATTTTGCTGCACGATCTTTGACCTCATTTTTCACTTTCCTTAGGTGCGATTAGCTAACCTTATGCGCGTACTTGGATCAGACGCTGTACAAGATCCTAGCAAAGTAGAAGCTTATGTGCGTGCCCAAATGGAGTCCCGTAAAAGAGCACATGAGGCTGCAAATGCGGCTCGAAAACTTACGAAAGAACAAGCTCGCTACAAGCGTATAAAAAAGATCAAGGAAGATACTACCCACCAGGTTCATGTTGCTGTTTACCGGTAAGTTCCATCCTTCCTTATTACCCCCCCCCTGGGGACTCTTCATATAAAAATGATAGTTTATAAATTAACTTCGTTCTTCACTATAAAGCCAT